GCAAGGAAGTGGCTGCGAGCTTCAGATGCAGCTGAAACTCTGGGCCTATAATGAACAGACACAAAGGTAAACATGTTTGAATTTATGCTGGACAAAGGCAATCATATTCCTATAGTTTCTACGTTGCAGAGCAGTAACATGCCCTGAGATCATTTTGAAGCATAGATTTTGCTACTAGACATGGAGAATGAATGCCGAGACTTCAAGTATCTCAGAGACAGGCCATTTCTTCATGATTGGCATTTTTTATTGTGTTATTTTGAGCCACAGGGAAGCAGAGCAGTGACTTCATGACATTGCAAGTGGGCAGTAACACTGTTTTTTCAGGGAGAGTTAGTTTTGCAGGAAGAAATCTGTGATTTGCGTAGGTGTGCTTGAACCTCCAATTAATCTTACATTTCCACCCTCTGCATTCCTAGCCAAAGAACTGAAGTCCAACTTACCTACACTGGCCTCAGTCTGGAGAAAGCTGGTATACACCATTAATAATTTGTCAGGCAGATGTTTCAGCTACTTTTATATTCTGGCTTTTATTTTTGTCCAAGTATAAATGGATATAATTTGCACTAAGTTGATCATTCTAATTATCAGAATTTAGGAAACCAAATGATGACATTTATGGAACTAGTGGTAACCTACCTTGTTTCTCATTCCCATTCCATTTATATAGTTAACATAATACAACAGATGATTTCTGATAGTTGGATAATTCTGTTGATATCTGTAAGGAACTCCTGTCAGTTTCAGTAAGTAGAGTGATGCCTTACATTGCTGTATCCTCTTTCTAATGTTTATATGGTTTTGATAGAAGAGTGTTACTGTGCAGGAATTCTATCAAATCTGTTTAATGTAGATGAGAAGGTTGAAACAACACTTCAAAATAAGGTAATGGTAAAGCAGGTCTGTGCCATATTCCCCAAATTTTATGGATATTTACATGTAATTCATCAGGAGTCAAGCTCAACTCAGAGGCAGTTACTTCATTTTATATCTTGATGGCTTATGACCAAATCTGTTTCTTATACTGACTATTTCTGTCAGTGTACAGTACTACAGAATGTACCACTTTTATCTGAGGATAAAAATTTATTTGAGGATAAAAATACAGTACCATCAATTGGAAATTATAATATCCAATAATTATGCTATCCGTGCTGATGTGATCATTGCTTAGAATTAAATGTTTAATATATCAACCCAGCATAATATTACATGCCTTGAAGCCCATTTACTTCATGGGAATGCTTTAATATAATTTTCTTTTTCTTTTTGATGTTAGCTTTACTCTAAACACACGAATAAATGCACCACATGAGGACTGCATAACAGCAATGTGTTTCCGTGGCACAGAAAATTCTGAAAATGTAAGCCCAACTCTGGTAACAACTAGCAGGGATGGGCACTTCAAGGTCTGGATGCTACTGGTGGATAAAGACAGTGAAAGTAAGTAAAATGGGGAGAGTAGCTTTCATTCATTTGCAACATGAATAAACATGTTCGGTTTGGGCTTTTTAATGAAAGTGGGGAATTTGAGGAACAACAGAGGATTGATTACAGTGCAGGTGACAATTTCCTGCTTGGTTCTCCAAATCGGTAAAAGGCAATTGTATGTGCTGAAGGCTGAAGAAGAAATGATCTTTATGGAATTTCTAAAACTCAGATAAGCAGCATGGCTTAAATTTTTCTATTTCCTTCTAGAATATTTTTTTAACATGTAGAAATTATCTCTACATAGAGAGACATCGCTGTGTTACTTAGCACTTCTGTGTACAGTGGAATTTGATCATTTGTGAACGTGGCAACTGGAATAAAATCATACATACTGCAAGAGAAAAAGACTTTAGTGTAGTTGTGGTTGAGTTTCTCTGGCTTGTGCCTAGTTGGTGGCAACTAGGATAGGAGTTCCTACTGAACCTGAGGTTCTCTGTAACTTTAGCATTTTCTTACCTCTTTACGCTCAGTCATGAAAGCTTGGTGATCTTTGCAAGGCCATTTTTGTGGAGATGTAAGAGTCCCCTCTCCCCCCTCAATTTTAAGCTTGTACACTTTTCCATGTGTAAGATATCCTAGTGTTATGGGAAAAAGTGTTGCTTATACTTGAAAGTTATTTCTTTTCATAACCTGGGCACTTAAAATGGCAGTGGGGGCACCTATTTGGAGAAGTTTCTATCTTGCTATTTTAAGTGTTGTGTTTCGGGTTTTTTTGTTTGTGTGTTCATTTCTTGATGTTGTATTAAATGTAATGTACTTTTCACGACACTAAATTCTCTCTTCCACATGGTCTGAAAGGAGATGGATTCCAAGAAAAACTGCAGCTGTGGGCACAAATTAGTGATTGTAAATAGGTTATTAAAAAGTGAGGTCTGTGGATTTATGTTTGGATCAGGCAAACCTACACAGTTGTGGATGGTAACCTAGGACTTCACTTGAACACCGTGCCAGCAAAAATATGTAACTTAAATATGGCTGTGCTTTTAGCAGGATTCCATTTTGTGTAGGAAAAAAAAACCTTAACTCATATAGGTTTGGGGTTTTTTTTAAACTTTTTTGCTTGCCATGGCAAGTATTACTCCCATGCAGCGGTCTCTTGGTTCTGTTCAAGTGGACAGAAATCTTCCCAGCATTGTGTGGCTTTTCCTGCTTCAGAAAAAGAGAGAGTAGTATGCGGTTTGTGTGGAATTGCTCCACTGGACTACCAAGATGACTAAGCTCTCTTTCTCTTACAGTGGAAAAAGAAAATGGAGCCTCCTTGGTTACACATTAGTTTGATACTGCCCCATTGAAAAGAATTGGGAGTTTTCTTGCAAGGAAAGGAGCAAGTGAATGCACAAGCAAACTCGACCAAATTAGTAAAAATTAAAATACTCACGTGATTTTTTTTTTCATGCCATACAGCTAACATTTATATTCTTTTCCTAAATCTGTGTGCCTCTTCCCTAGCAGATGAAAGCATAACTTGGACCTGTGATTTTGTAGGAAGTTATCATAATTATCAAGCTACAAATTGCTGCTTCTGTGAAGATGGCTCTTTACTTGCTGTTAGCTTTGACAAAACAATCACCGTGTGGGATTCTGAAACATGGGATTTAAAATGCACTTTCTGCCATCCTCCAGGAACTATAATGTACGTACTTGTATGCTTGTTCTTCTGGGTCTTATTGTTTTGCTTATGTTGTATTTAAATCACTTTTTAAAAGCTCCATTTGAAAAGTGTAATGTTGCCATTTACAAAAGTGAGTCTGAAATGTTCTTCTCGGTTTACAACCACCTCTAATTAATTTTAAGAACAGGATCTGACAATAGAGACAAAAGTTAACTTGTTTTCTGTGCTTGGAGTAGCATATCCAGTATGTATAATTTTAGCTTAGACCAGGACCTTTTAAAAAAAAGATCAAATTCTTTGGTTAAGAATGAAATGAGGGAAGAGAGATAATGGGAAAAAGTTGAGCCAAAGGAATGTAAAATTGCTCTTCTGTGAAACTAAAATGTGCATTGCAATAGCAAGCAAGGTCATTGGTCCTCCCTTGTATTCATTTCTGAACTTCCTGCAGCCAGTAAGGGAGCCTGATTAATATGAATGATTAAATTGACAATCTATATATATATAAAAAGTGTAATACCACTCACATCATCACAAAATCTCCAGAACCGTAAAGCCTACAAACTTGAAATTTGGCACGTATGTTCCTCTTGGCTTCTAGATGCTCACTAAGAAAGGATTTTTTGAAATGACCATCAGAGCATTAGTATTTCATATATCATTATTATTAACACACTCTGATGCTAAGGAGTTTTATTCCCCCTTCTCAAAAGAAATCTGTTCCAAATGTAAAACATAAGCAGAGGAGTTTCAGTTTTAGTTTCACAGCGCCAAGCAGCTTTAGTACAGAACAGTTGAGCTAAGCCACACCCAGGCTCCTTGCTGTTTCCTTCTTGCCCACACAGCAAATACTGTTTCAGTTTCCAAAAAGCCCTTAACTCTCTCACACACTGACAGGATGCTAGCCAGATGAATACCGATGGGTGATGGTAGGCTGAGGCAGATTTTTTCCCTTATTTTCCTCCCCAAAAACTAAGCCTGACCATATAGTTTCGTAGCGAAGCACGGGTATCAAGCTAGTTCACTATACTAAGGATCGTGACTGCAGTAAATAGACCACCCTTTTAAAGCATGAGTGCTTGTGATACAATATTCTTAAATAGGTAAATTAACAACTATAGTTCTCAGTGCATCTGAGCCCTCAAGTCTGCTTCAGTTTCTCACATTTTTGCTGCTAATAAAAGCTAGTTCCTCCTAATTTACTGTCCCGTCAGCAAGATGGTTTCAGCAAACTTCTAAAATTGATCGTGACCTCCTGCCTGTCAGCACTTGCAGAGTTATCTGAAATGGTTTCAACAGAACCATTTGCTCGGAAGGTGCTCTTTTTCAAATAACTTCCTTGACCCTCGTTGTGTAAACATTTGCCTGATTGCTGTAGGAGGTTTGAATTGTACGGTTGTAAAATGGAATTTGTTCCTAGCTCTGCACATATGCTAGGAGATGTAGGTAAAAAGACTAAAGTTGCTCAGTGGAGAAATTGGAAGGCTTTGGCTAATCTTAACTCCTGAACATCCAGCTGGCCTGAACATCAGTGACGTCCTTCCATTTTCAGGAACTTTTTAGATGACCTTGTTTACCATAGGTTGCTGTTGAGTATACAGCCATGATGGCGAACCTATGGCACGCGTGCCCCAGGTGACACGCAGAGCCATTTGTGCCGGCATGCGAGCCGCAGGTAAACTTAGCTCACTTCACATGCGGAAGTGACAAAACGGGCCTATTATTCCTGGAAGTGACGAAACGGGCCTATTATTCGGTCTGCAAAGCCTGCAGAGGCTTTTTTCAAGCCTCTGGGAGGCCGAAAATCAGCTGTGAGGCTCAGTGCAGATAAGGGGGCGGTAGGGGGAGCGATTACGCGTACATGCGCAGAGGGTGGCGGGGGCGCATTGCCTTCTGGGTCCGAACACGTGAGCGCACACACATTTTTTGGCCCAGGAGCCCAAAAAGGTTAGCCACCATTGGTATACAGTATATCACTTTGAAGTATATTGTTGGTCACCACAGAAGTCTTATAACCAAATTTGAGAAATGAGTTTCTGACATAGACCTTTGTTAACGTAGAGGGGGCATATTATAAAATACCTCACTGAACAGGGAATGATCAGCTCTTTTTCCACCAGTTTTCAATCCTGGATGCTGACGAACAGAGCAGTAAATGTTACTGCTGGCACGATTTGGAGTTGAGCAACTATTCTGACCTTTCCTTTCTTCCTTTAGGAGCCTGTGCTTTGGGAGGCTTATTTGTTCCAAATATCTCCTTGGCACCACCAGCAGTGGCTTTTTGTGCTGCTGGAACTTGCTGAATTGTTCATGTAAGTCTTTACTTTTACTTTTTGTATCTTCTTTTCTCCTTGGTATTTTATGCTGCAGGAACACCATAGTTGAAAAAATCGGTTATTGCAAACAAAATTTTTCAGTTTTTATTTCATCTCAGTAAAGAAAACCCTTTTAGTAAATGTTTAACAATAAATGGCAGGTTAATCCACTAGCATATGCACTGGATTACTCTTGCTAACTACCAGCTGCCTGCTATTATTAATTGTGGTACAGTTGCCAAAAGATACTGAGTTAATGTGTGTATTTTTGACAAATGGACAGAATTTTTGTTCAGCTTAAAACCTAGCTGTTAAAAAAATGGAATGAAATCTAATTATTAGATCGCTATACAAAATTAGATGGATTTTTTTTACATTAACTAGAAATTGAAATGAGTAATTTGGCACCAGCAAACTTATTCCATAATTAGGATGCTGCTAGTAATCCTCTTAGAGTTATTTTGCTAGTCCTACATGAGGGAAACTCAGTGACACTTACATGCGGATAGCTTGCAGTGGAGCTGGGAGAGGGATAACTGCCTGTCCTCTTTCATTGTTCTCCTATAAATTCAGAGAATTGGAAGTTCTTCCAGGAGAGTTTTGAGAAGTTGCAGGGGAGGTGGGAAGAAAGACCTATTTAGGAATAAATAAAAGATTTACAGAAATCCAGGCAACTAATGAAGATCAAAAAGCCACAAGACAAAATATTCTAATAACGAAACAAGAAGAGGACCAGCAGAGTTGCATAACTTGGGTGCCTCAATAGAAATCATCCCATTGCCTGGCTCTGAAAAATTGAGCAGGTTTCTCCTGTCTACCTGAGGAGAAAAGTATGGTGTTAGAGGGAACTAAATGGTGATCATTATATGATCATTATGCTTCCTGGTTTGTTTTTACTTTTGGCCAAAGTGTAATCTACCTTTGTCCTATAGATTTAGAGAAAACTAATTGTCTACTGGAGCACATTTTAATATATTTTCTTATTAACTTGAAGAAGAGTAATAGTAAATTATATGATTAGTTGAGTTCCAAGAGTTCGTGATTTCAAAATGTGAATCTATACTTATCCCGTGCCACTTCGGGAACATGTATGGTCTCTTCTTTCCAGATGAACTAAACAGAATCTTTAGAGCTGATGGTCGCCAAAATGTGATTGATAGATTTCAGGTTCCTTTTGAGAACCTGTTGAGTAACCTTAGGCCAGTCATCATTGTGGAATACCCTCTTACTCTCATTCCTTGTGCAGACCCTACTCAAAATATTTTGAAAGTTGCATTTGAATTGAATCTGCCCCTCTTGCAAGTTGTGACCTTTCTAGAAAAATGCGTCTGTGGTTCTTTTACTGACCTGATTATTTTTCTTTTCAGTGGAATGGAGTGCCCAGTTACATGTCAACATTCTTCAGCCTGATCATCTGTCTGAGAACATTGCTGCAATTTCTCAGCACTCAGAATATTCAGATGGTGAGAATAAAGAGGCCTTTCTACTTTGTGGAGAATAGTTGATCCAAGTTGTGGTGTTATCATGCCTAGAAAAATATTTTAGATTTAATGCCACTTTAAGTAGGCTGAACCTGGAAACTTCGATCCTACCAAAAAAAAACTTGTGGGAAATTAATTACTTTTTCAAACTTCCTTTGCTTTTCCTTTGCTTTGATCCTGCAGAGAGCCGAGTCCTCTTGAATATGAGTAAAGGTACATATGGGTAAAGGAATTTTATCTTAGGATCAAAACCAAATTACTCACTGTATATAAAGTAAGTTTCTTACATATAGAGGGAGTTATTTTCCTTTCGGGGTATCTATCTGTTAGTAATTATTTAATCTCTTACTGTTAAAGCAACTTCTGGTTTTCAGATTTTTACTACAGAGGAAAAAAAAGATGTTTTTAAAGAGAACCTAGTAATCTTGATACCATTCTGTGTCACTTCATGAACAAGCCATTTTGGCTGAGGAAATAACAGAAAAAGTACAGAGTACTGTGTCTGAATCCCATTGTTAAGAAGCTGTGAGCTGGGATGAAGGCCATATTTAAAAATCTGAATCTTTTTTACCTTTTCTTTTCCTGAACAATAGCCAACTCTACCTTGATTTATTCCAAATCAAGAGATTTGGATTTTGAACCAGCACGATAAGCTGAAAAGTCAAGGAATTGTTAGTCCCAATCTATTAACGGAACTAGTTGGGGAAGGCTCAGCTAGTTTATTTCTCATCAAAGAGCTGTCATCTGGGTGTGGTTTTCTCACACCATTAAAACTACAATGATGCAGCTTGGCTCTTGACTGCCAGGTTAATCATTAAGTTGGCCTTATAAAAGATCTATTAGCAATATCAAGGCTGGGACTTCATGCTTGGGATCGTTTTGGCTTCTCTTCAACTCCGAGTCAGAAAAACGGACGGGGCTTTTTTTTTCAAAGGCTAAAGATACTTCTTCTCTGCTTTAGTGTTTGTGTTCAGGCCCAGCGAACCACGGCCCTTGTGTATCCAAAGAAATGTCTGCAAAGGGAAAGTCCAGTGGGCTGTCTTTGTTCCAAGAGATGTGCCTGAATATATTGCCTCCGAAAAATATCAGTGGCTTAGCCAATCGCAGTTTTATTTTCTGACTGAAACACACGTAAGTGCCGACTTTATTAAAATGACTTAGAGGGGAAATCGTTAGGGGTGACTAACAGACCTGAAAAGAGGCTGTCATATTAATTTTTGCCCAGTCTTTCCAATAGGCTGTCATTACAATATTGTCCTAGTGGTAGTGAGAGATAGAAACAAGAAAAAAAAAATAACTTAAAGACTCTGTGTTTCCTGACTATTCCTATGTATATTTAATATAGATGTGTTTTTTATTTTTTAAAAAATGTTTTTAATATTTTTAATTGTAATATATTTTTTGAATTGTAACCGCCTCCCTCCCCCCACCTCCCCCCGGAGTTATTGACTGAGATGGACAGCTGTAGAAATTGCATACACACACTAGTGCACTCCAAGCACTAATGACACATTCTGCACGCTTGTTTAGAAACAGGTCCTATTTGTTCAGAGGCTCTTACTCCATTTAGGATTGCAGCTTAGATAAACTATATTGAGTCAGCTATAGAAGTTTTACTCTGTCAAATGTTTTGACATTTATGGGCTTCTCTGAGCAACCTGCATTTTGCATATCTTTTATGGTGTCAAGATATTGGTTATTTTCCTCCAATCTAATTCCAGTCAGCAATACTATGCTGACATGAAATTTGGCCTGTCTAAATCCCAATATTGCTTTATATAAATGCTGCACTTGGTTTTTTGGCAATGTATTCTTCCCAACAGCACTAAAAATGTGTCATTTGGTTACTATTAGAAAGAAAAGGAATTTCCTATAATAACCTTTGAAAGGGAAAAAAAAATCATTATCCCCCATGTTTTGGTTAACAGCCACATCTCATTTTAAATTCACCTAGTTCTATATTCATATGCTTCTGGACTGATATTTTGAATGATATGCCATTTTAAAAGCTCAATGTAGTTATAAGAATACTTTTCCTATTTGTAATCTTGCTTTCTTTCCCCTTCTGATTGTGTAGGAATTAATGACGTTTAGCACAAAGACCCCAGAGGAGAGACTTACGCCTTCCAGTAGACAGGTATTATTTTTTGTAGCTAAATGACTTTATGAAAGAAATGAAAATCCATTTTGAATGCTTAGTTATATTTCAGAGTCTTAATGCCGTCTTAAGATGAGGCCTACTTCAGTGGGTGTCTCTGAATCCAAAAGATTGTGTCAAAAACTTCCCCAGCTTCATCTACAATAGTGCCTCCTTTCACGTTGTTCTTAATTTTTCCTGTCTCATCACAGATACCTGTCTTTCACACCAGGATAGTATTGAATCTATCTTTAAGATGGCAAACGTGTAGTCACCCTGCATTTGTTATTGGAAAGGTTGAGGCACCCATCTACTGTTACATATGGTAGATGCCAATAAAGATGAATAGTGCGGATTGCCAATTAAGTTTTGAATGCTTAAGTACAAAACAGTATCTGCAGATCAGCTTTATTTTATTTGAAAGAGTGAAGGTTGCCTGGAAGAAAATACTGCATTCAAGGAATGGTCAAGATGGGTACTATATTTAGTTTTTCCAAATTAAAAATCATATCTTAAATAGTATAAACATACATTATAATGTACAGTCAGGGTGTTAAGATAAAGCAATTCCAAATGACAATTGGCCTTCATCTCAAGGACTTACAGTACCTTTCTTGGAGTTTTTGGGCTCTTAAAAGTCATGGGGCAGGTGGTAAGCCAGTCATGGATTGCACCAATCTTCTGGTCAACCTTGCCTTCCTAATCTGGTACCTCCCAAAGTTTAGGGATGCTTTCTGCAGTTCATTCTGCTGGCGGCATATCATAGATATTCTAGTTCCACTAGGATACAAAGGCTGACCTACTTAATGACTGCCTATCATCATATTGCACCTGAGTGCTGAACAAGCATGCAATCCAAAGATAAGTTACTGCTTTCTTGTTTTGGAGTACTTTTGGAAAATGTCTCTGCCTGTGCTTGAAAGTTATTTGCATATGCCTTAATGTAGGTTTGGTTCCCTCCACCCCCATTTCCTTTTTAGTTAGCAGTTGAGGAGAGCATCTCCATGACTCCTTTTTACCTGTTACTGGGGAAGCATCGGCAGCAAACGAAAGAGGGAATGGATACTGGGAAGGCTCCTGTGCAGAATCTGTTAGGTCAAGAATCACCAGCTGTTAAAGAAGTAAGAATGGATCTAATCCATACTAAAAAATGTATACATTTGCAATGACTTCTTAAGAAAGTGCTCTAATCTCACCTGCCTGTCTTTTCTCCCCAGCTGCTTCATACTCCAGCACATGTATTACCTTCAGCTTCTTTCCTATGTCCTCTTTTTATTCACTCTTTGCTGGTGCCTAGAACAAGGTAAGTAAGAAATCTGGGGGTGTTCCTAAGAGATAAAATATTAAAATGTATTGTCCTGTTTTGGTTGAGATGAGATACCCATATAGGCTGCATGTACGCTGTGTTCAGAAATTTACAAGACATCCCATGTGCCTTGTCAGGAGTTCTAAAAATGAATCAACTACTGTCACCCCTCAATCAATGCCAACAATCCCTGCTGGGATTAGTCCATTTGTCAAGGTGCAGGATGTGACACACTGCATGTCCGTCTTTTGCCATTTTTTTCTTTTCTACTTTGGTCACTTCCCTTTCTGTTCCGACTGATGAAATATCCACTCAAGATAGGGATGCTTCTCTTGTGTTTGGGGTGTATCTAGAAAGTTTAGAAATTTGAGGATCCAAAGCCTTCCCACCTCTGCCACAGTTGTCTGCAGGAGGAGGGGGTCCAAAAACATGATGCACAACCAGGCAATCAGTGTGTTCCCTTTTTTACAGTCTTGCATTTTGAGTTTTGATCACATGTTGATGATTGTTATGTTGATTTTATTTTAATCCTGCTCTGATATCTCTGCCAATGACCATAAAGCCTTCAAGGCTGTTCTCTCTATCCTTAGAAGTTTCATCCAGGTTGTTCTTTACTCTTTGGAGCTTTTTCAGGGAGGAGACAATTCAATCATTTGAGTATCTCATTTAAAGATGGTTGATGAAAGGACATCATGGATTTCTTGGAATAGAGGTAGTCCTGGTTTGCTAGACATACTTAGTAGTTGGGTTCTTCTGAGTGTAAGGTCCATACCCTAGGTTTGATCATAATCAAATCAATCTGGTATTGATCAGATTTTCTGCAGTCATTTTGCCCCAAGTCCCAGGAGATTGCCAATCCAACTCTCTCGATTTCAACTCTTACCAGACAACAAATACCACAAGGGAATCTCCACTGAATTGCTGCATGAATATATATGCATATACAGCCTTTCTAGGAGACAAAATATCTACCCTCCTCCCCCAAGATGATGTTATTGATCTCCCAAAGCACAGAGAATCTGACTATCAAGTATGCATATTAACGTAATAATAGCGCTTTCCCCCCAAGATTTTACTTTACTATTCCTCACAGGATATATTGCAAATACACACAATGCTGGCACCTCAAGGAGAATGCCTGGCTTTCCCTGATGTAGCTTGGTACAAATGCCATCAGTGCCTGTTGTATAGAAAGTAAGAATCAGAAAATATGCATTTAAGGAATCTGTATTCCTTTTCATACCAAAATTTATTTTCAGGAAAACATTTAAGAAGAAAGGAAGACTATTGGGCAGTGGAATTGTTGAGTGAGAAAACTTGTTGAGTTTTTGTATATCAGCATTATTTAGGATCTTTGTAAACAAATAATGTGTGTTTGAGACAAATAGACGCTTTACATAATTCCTTTTTTTTTTTTTAAACAGCACTAATGAAATTGCTGAGGAAGTTGAAATGTTAAGTGACAGTGAAGAGAAGGAATCTGAAGAGGAATCTGAAGATATTGAAATTCGCCCAGAAGCTTCACAGACAACAGAGTGCTTTGGGGAGGGTGCATCTAAATTATCAAAACTTCAGGAAAGAGAACTTCGTAAATTAAGGAAATTGGACTACAGCTGGGCCTCGGGACTCTGAACATGTGACATTGCGGACTTTCTTTTTTTTACATATTTCTTCCAGTAATTTAATAAAGTTCCAAATGAAGTTAGCTTTCTTTGTTACTTTTGCCATTGATATAAAGTACGTCTTCAGGGAATTCTTGGATGTCATCCTTCATAGGCTTGAGCGTGCTTGTGTAGAAAAAAGTGCTTTGTGGTAAAAACAGGGCTTCTTTTAGAAGAAGTCTTTCCTTTTATGTGTTACTTCTGGCCAAGATTCAAGGGCATTACAAAATGTTTATGTAAATGCATCTTATTTTAGACACAGGAAGAATTTACCTGCTTGTGTTTTTTTTTTTTTTTTTAAATAATGGTGTAACATGGAAGCTAAGGGATCTTTGCTTGGGAAGAAAAGCAGCAGACTTTCTGAGCTGAAAGAAGTATTTACTAATCTGCATTCCTAAAATGTTTAGAAATGCCTGGGGCAGAGTCTAAGACGTTCAAAACAAATCCACTTTTGTGAAATGCAGACAGTAGAAATGAAATAGCTAATTAAGTAAAATAGGTCATTTAGGATACTGAAAAATAGCAGCCTGTGCAAAACGGTTGATCAGAAAAGACAATTGGTTCAAGCATATTTTATGTGTGTGTGTGTGTGTGTGTGTTGATCAGAAAAGAAAATTGGTTCAAGCATTGTGTTTGTGTGTGTGTGTCGGGAGGGCGAGGCTCTATGAATTTGATACTGTAAACACAAAGTTGGTTCAGAATGGTTTTCCCCTGAATACTCCTGCGGTAAACTGCTTTAGAAACAAAAATGATTGCCCAAGAATGTTTCTTAATCTGCATAAATCAACAAAACTATTTTTAATAATTTGTATTAAAGTTTACAGTTATAAAGCTAAAAAGCGAAGAGAAACAGGAAAATCATTTCTAGTTCCCTCTAGTGTTAAAGCTTCAAACTCATTTTTTCCCTAATCATTTTCTTATGGGAAGGTTTCTTATAAAAAATATTTTTAACTTACGCCCAATCCTTGATGTTTGCTCAAAGTTACAACCAGTCTTCACACTTACGACTGTTGCAGCATCCCCACAAACATAAAATTTGAGTGCTTGGCAACTGGCATGTATTTACAATGATTGCAGAGTCCCACGGTCACATAATTGCTGTTTCTGATCTTTTTTTTGGGGGGGGGGGAATTCTAACAAGTAAAGTGGCAGCCAGATTTGCTTAATGACCATATGATTCAATTAACTGGCAAAAAATGGTGTGTGATTCAGTTAATGAGCACATTGCTTAGGACAGAACTTCTGGTCCCAGTTGTGATTTTAACTTGAGGAGTACCTGTAATATAATTGATTCACTATTGCTTATTTATATCATTTTTAATCATACTGTAGATGAGAACGTTTCTACAATCCAAAAAGCTAGAATTTTTTTCTCCACATGCCCTGATTGACACTAATAATAGTATAGCCTTGAAAGTAACTTGGGACATGAAAGGAGAGTCTCTTGTTTGAAGATAATCACATCCCCTTATGTTCTAGGACTTAAAACTGCTTTGTGGATGATAAGCTAATTCCAAATGAACTTAAAGTCCATTTTGCATCATAAGATAATTTCTTAAAGCAGTCAATGACTTCATGGTTGGAGCTAGATAAAAATTCTGAGGAACGCTAACCAAAGAGAATTTGTGCCTTTGTTGAACTTTTACCTATCATTTATTGAGATGATTTACTAATAAATCATGGTTTGAATTTTGTATTAATTTTATATGGAAATGAATCAGACTTTGAAGGAAACCATGTCTCTGTTACCCCAGACTATATCATAGATTTGGTGTGTGTTCCTGATGGATGCTAGAACTATGTAGGTATGTGCGATGATCTGAGGTTTCATGTACTGTATAACATGGTGTTTATATGTCGATTATATAGTTTTATTGTGACATAAAGGAATTGGATTTGTTCTGTAGATAGGTTGAGGTTAAGGTTGATAATGGGGTGTTGAGGTGATGATGAGTGTTGAGGATCTTGTGAAATTGAATGAGAGATTCTTTTTAGTAAATGTAGATGAGAAACATGTCATCAGTGAATAATGTCTATAAAAGCAGTTTCTGGGGTTTAAAAAGTTGAGAAAGTATTCTAGGTGTGCTATGAAAAATAATTAGAATATTTTAGAGATATAATGTTCCCAGGGCTGTGCTACTGATTTGCAGGTTTATGTTGTTTTCAAAGATTAAGCAGTTATGCTTGTAGCATCTATGGCAGGGGTGTCAAACTGGCGGCCCGTGGGCCAGATGCATCTCGCGCAGCCCACGCCCACCCCAACTCCCCGAAGAGAAAAAACGTTGCATGACTGCAATGTGACTCAGCGAGTTTGACACCCGTGATCCATGGTGTTGACATCACAGCTTAAGCTACTCAAACACTAAAGTGTTAATAAGCTATAACCCAAAATAGATAATGATACTGCACTTGCTCAGGCACTGAGTGGAAGGCTCATGCTTACATACAAACAGCCATTCAACCTGAAGCAGATTTTCACAGCAAGCAGAAACAACAGGAAGATGATGCTAAGATAAACCAAGAAAGCCAGATGTCCTTTGCCTCCACAAAATTTACATCACTATAACTATTATAGACTCCAATAACTTTGCATACAAGGTTAGAAGCATCCATGGATATTTTTCTTCTAATGCGATACATGCCACCATCAAGTAGCATCTGGAATCTTATAGGACAAACCAGGCAAAGAACATTTGGTCTAGTCTAGTGGTTAAGGCGCTAGGCTGGAAACTAGGAAACCATGAATTCAAGTCTGACCTTAACCATGAAAGCTAGCTGAGTGATCTTGGGCCAGTCGCTCTCTCAGCCCAATTCACCTCACAAGGTTTTTGTGGGGAAAATAGGAGGAAGAACAAGCATTAGATACTTTTACCACCTTGAGTTGTTTATAAAAATAAGAGGAGGATATAAGTGAAAAGCATAAAACGATGCAGGTTTGACATCATTGGTCAAAGTAATAGAACATTTTAACCACCCAAGACACTCCATTACAGATCTCAAAGAACTGGTCTGGGACAAAAAAAATTGGGACAAGTCAATTGAAGGATTGCTAAACTTGCATATATCAAAAGATATCAGGCTATCTCAAAGATAGAAAAAAATGGGTTTTAACATACCATTTTACAATTGTTAAAGTACCTATAAACTCTCCCATGTATAATCTGCATCTTCATAACCACCTCCTTTTCCCCTCCCGTTTCTTCCAATTTAGATCCTACATCTGTTTAGCCATTGCATGCATTTGATGACATGGGCTACAAAAAGGAAATGCTTTTAATAACATTTGTTTGTCTGAAAAGGTACCATGAGATTCCTGATGGCACCGAAACCTTTTCATCTGAGTTTATCATGGTATCAAGCCCTTCAACCAGGGTTATGATCTCAGATGCATCATATGGCATCAAGTCCATGGACAGCAGAGGATTGCTTTGTGAGAGGTTCAGATAACATACCGGTTTTATTTAGGGTGAATGCCTAATCTGTGGGTTTTGGAATTATAGATGGACACAATACAATTTCTGACTAGTTTCAAAATAGAATATGCACTGTAGTTCTCTTAAGACTCCCACCTTCAACAAACACATTAACTAATTGGCTTTCTGACTGGAAATAATGATACTGTAGTAGTTGGTCTTGCACATTACAAATCAATAAAACAAGTTCAGTGTTAGATTGCTTCATCTGTTTGTCAATATTTAGGAAATACAACACTCTAGGATAATCTCCATTAAGACAGTGGTATGATGCTGACAAAACTGTAATGTCTATCAAGTTCTGTGATTGAAATGTTGTTGGGTAGCGTCTGTTGTGTTTTGAGTTAATTGCAGAATGACTCTCATTACCTACATGTTTTTCTAGTGCACTACTGCCTTGACTTGTCATTCAAAATATAGAAGAGTTTGTCTCCCTATTCATTATTATTTAGAAATTTAATAAGCATTTGTCTTATGGGTAGGATTTTCTCAGACTAATAATGAAAGGTCATATGTAATGACAAATGACAAGAAATGTGGCCGCTAGTTCTTTGATATTTTTTCTACATCAACAACTTTGGGAGATACATGAAGTAAGTGTTAAATACTCTATAACATTCTCTCATTCTCTTTCTCCCCCTCCTCCCAACTGGTTTTGTATTTTAGGCAGAACTAGAATTCATAATCTAAGGTCAGGATGTGGATACAAAAGGGGCAAGCCTTGCATTGAGATGCAAGGTGCCCAGTGTCTGCTGCCCTCATTGCTATACCACGTTGACTTTTCTGTAGTATTATAGATGTATCAAGTATAAGTACAGTTACAGTCCTGTGTTCCAGAAGGAGACTGTGTTTCAAAAGGAGGTTGTTTCCTGATTGTTCATCTACCCTACCGTGCAAATCACTCCCTGCAATGAAGGATGAGGATTTCTGCATGCCAAATCTGCTTAATTCCAGCATCATCACTCTCCCAAAGCAGTATCTTGCTAAGAACAGAATAGTTTTAAAAATTTTCAGGTCATTCCAATTACTCACAATTATGTTGTGCTGAAAGGAACAATCAAAAGTGTTGGAACTGTTAAGGCATCTTTGCCCATACTTCTGTCACCTCTAGAGGAGAGTTTAAGAACACTAATTTTCATCAAAATGAGCAATTGTAACTGCAGTTAAGATTGGCTTTCCACTACTGAAAGATGGTTGGCAATTTTCATAATTTCCTTTTGTGATTCTTTGCATACCTCACACAGCATCCACAGGATCTTGTGGTGAAGTTTTGACATATTCCTGCATGTTCCACCTCCTTTATGTGTGAGTAGAAAGTCTGCAGGTACAAAAAAGGGACAAGGTTTGTGACATACTACTGTGATGGTGCTTTCATTTTGCCTCCCTGTAGATGTCATCATTCAGGAATTCTGACTCAGTGTTGGCAGGATCACTTCACTTCAGAGAAGGTGGAATGCTTGAAATTCTTCCTGTAATTTAGTTACCTGTCCACCTCAAAGTTTACCTATCAATCTTTCATAGAGAATGTTCACTTGATGTTCTAGGACAGGGGTGTCAAACTCAAATTCATCGGGGGCCGCATCA